AAGCTATTGTTTTACTTTTGGAACCACATCCTGATCTAATCTTTAAGCTCCCAGTCTGGTGGTACCGGTTCCACAGACATGAAATCCCTTTTTTGACTTGTTGAATTTTGGCATATTGATTTGCCTCCGTTAATGCATCCGATAGCCTGTCATTTTTGATTTTCAGAAAGATATGCTCTTGGCATGATTCTCAGAGTTCGGGTATAATGACAATTGCCGTCTATTGTGTTAAATGGGTATAATCTTGCATACAAATCACGGAAATCAATTTCCAATAGCAAAGTTTCTTTATGAATGAAAATAAGCTTTAACATTTTCAGTTTACAACAGCGATATATAGCCTCGAACATGTGAAATACTACACATTAAGTAACAGTAAATATACGTTCCTTATTAATTTCCATCAGTATATATAATTTATATTAACTGCGTCAATTCCTTTATTGGCATATTAAAGTTTAAGGTAAAGACGGATCGTGTTAGCTGCCTTTTTGTAGTGCAACGTTGGTGTTCAAAAAGCCTATGATTTCCAATATCCATAATCAAACATCCGATCATTGATTCTATTGGCAGGAAATCAAGAAATGGGCATTCTCTGACCTTTTTAAGAACACTATTTAAAAGTTTCAAATGGACGGAAAGAGTTTGTTGCAAATATGATGTAGACCCATGCATGACTACGCTTACGTCTCTGTGTATGGTTAAAAAGTCTCATCACATTTATATTTTACCCTAAGGACTTGAAGAACACTATGTTCATTGTCATTGCATCCATAAGGAAATGCTATCCCTAGTTTTCTAATCTAAAATTCCTCTCGTCGCGACGTTATCTAAGGAAATGTGTACTTTTAATTTTTTCGAGAATTTTAATTTTCATTGACAAAATAGAATGATCGGATTATTTAAAATGTTCGTATAGCAGCTGCTGACACCCATTATTTAATTTAAATCGATGAACTAATATCCTTTTATTAAGTGATCCCTTGATTTCACCTTCATAGAAAAGTCCACACAGATTACATTCTTTTTTCGTAGACAACATTAACAAACTCCAGTTGAGATAAGTTTTGATGAAGAAGCTCTGTCCAGTATGATTACTGGTGAAAGAAGTATTTGTTATCAAAATGCAACAGGTTTTAAAGGTTTTCATAGAACATTTTGAAAAAGATGGTACCTGTAAAGAGCGAAACGAAATAGAAACGAAACGAACTGAAACGATAGGAAACCTGCCGAAACAAAACTTAACTTTCAGAATGTTTTTCAAATTAAGGTATACACATATAGATATATATAAACTGCATGTGGCCCATTTTACTCTTTTCAAAGTTTATACAGTTTAAGTACAGACACTTTCTTCGTAAACTGGGCACCCCTTCTTATTTTTATCACATGATATCTAACTCAGTTTCAGGCACCCACATTTCAAGCTCATATATTTCGTGGATCATTGTATTAATTATATAACTATCAAAATGGCTTCGTTTGCCTCTGAAGACTTTTTTCTTGTCAATTAAGTCCTTTTAGACGAGTCGAGTCTCCTAATTTGTAAACCACTCATTTATTCTTCAAAAATTACCTCGATAAATAGGACCGTATAGTTACATAGTCGGTATACACAAGCGTCCATTTGAGGTTATAATTGAACGATTTAACCAGAGACCTCTGGATGGAATACTCGGAAGTCTCTGGTTTTATCCTTTGTTTAAAGACATTCGCAATACAAAAGTACAGTGGGTTTATTTCGACCCGGACATAAACGAGCCTTTACACGTAATACATCAAAATTGATAGATAATATGTTGTATTGAGATGAATAAGGGCTGAAAAAAAGAGTAAGACCTAGAAATTAACAAAAATGCAACACATATTGAAATTATACATGCAGAGTACTCTAACGCATATTTGCAGCTGGCAACAGTTCATACTTTATACATAACTAGAAAAGGGAGCATAATTTATCGGTGTTTAGATTTTATTTTAACAAGTGCTTGAACTATATAAATTTTATTTGAAGTAGAAAAAGCCTACATGTAGTTACACCTATATAATTGTATACCTTGGTTTGAAAAACAGTTTTATAGTTTTGTTTCGTTTCGATAGGTTTCATTTTGATTCGTTTCGTTGGATGAGTTTCGGTAGATTTCGTTTCGTTTCAGTTTGTTTTGTTTCGTTTCTATTTCGTTTTGTACTTTACAGGTACCTTGAAACAGAAGACATTGAATCGAAAAAAAGAATAAACCTTCAAATATATCTCTAATAGAAACCTTACATTCTTTCAATATTTTGTTAGAGGTATACAGTAATATGTAAGAATATTGTAGCAAGGAGAGTGAGGTGAAAGAATCAGTCAGTGAGTGAATGCTTAAGAAAAATCCACAATGATTATATAAATATATTATTATTTGAAAGCTGAAGGGTAGAAAAAAAAAGAATATTGTAGTGAATTGAATAAAGGTGTACTCACAATTTGATTTGATTTAGAATTGATTGTTAGTTTTATATTTTCCCGTTTTCAAAAGACCATTTTATTTTTAATTTAACATCTGATATCTGATATCAGGAAGCTTCCTATGCCATACGTGTATTTTTATTAAAGTGTCTGTTGTATTATATCTTAAATAGGACTGGTGAAAAGCAATATTTCACCCGAATTTTTTTAGTTAAAACTTTCTTCATTATGAAAATAATTTTATATGATAAATGTATTATATAAGGTTTTATGTTGCACATTAGCATAGGTGGGCGAAAAAGGAAATGTTTACATGTAAGTATCTTCTCTTGTTTAGATAGTTGTCTTAAAACCTTTAATTTTATATTGGTTTTTTTAGTAATTTGTAATAATAGTCGCTGTATCTGATATACAAAAGAAGGGAAAGTAATTTAATTACCAATAAAGAAAGGTCATTACAGAGTCTGTCACATCTACTTCATAATTGGATGTTCTACTGATTAAAGAAAAGGGTCAATAATCAACTACATTCTATGTTAAATGAGATGACTTAAGGTTTTCCTGTGTCAACTTTCTTTATTTATGTAGCTATATAAGCTATCACATGCAAGTTGTGTTTATGTGTCCAATTACATTTGCTTTCAAGAGTATACTCGGAGGATAATCATTTTTTTTAACCCTAGGCAAGCTACTTACACATTAGTTGAACGTATTTCAACAACTCCCTTAAAATTTAGTAAATAGATGGTCGTTATAATGACCATATTAGCAAATATATGTTTCCTTGTATCCTTACATCTCATTATTAGGGAAGAGCCCTGAAAATTTTGGAGCCCAATGGTTAATAAAATAAAATAACCTAAAATAGTATTTATATAATAACTTGATTTTTAAAGCCCTTCCATTAAAATTTGATATGATGAATCTTTTTAACTTAAGTGAGTCTCTTGTGGATTATAACTTCACTAAAATAATACACCATATGACATAAGATTGTTTTTCCAAATGAATTTTTAAGAACACCGGAACCCATGTTCTAGAGGCCATAACATTCACAATTTTGAAAGAGGCACTCTTCGACCCTATAACTGTGTGCATAGTTTCTTGGTTTAATACCCAGTAGCAAAATTTTTTTAAGTATAGTGCATTTTTTATATAATTATAATCAAATCTTTGCATTTAGTTTGTTTGCAAAATACCCAGAAGCAAAGGAGAAGATTTTAAAGATTTAATGCATTTTCACAATATACATGTATAAAAGAGAGCCCTGTCATAACACCAAAAAGCCCTGTACCTTGGCCCATTGAATTTCACAATTTTGGTAGAGAGCACAATGCTAATCACAATCATGGCAACATGACTGTTTGATGTTCATGAGAAATGAGAAGATTTTTTTTTAAAGATTGCATTAATTTTAGTGGTTTTCCACAAATGTCCTGCAAACCGGGAAGGGGGGAGGGGGAGACCATGAAATTCACAATTTTTGTTACTCCTAAAAGCAACATATCAAAACCGGTTGAAGTTTGATAAGTAATGTCAGAGAAAGAGTTTAGAATGTTCAAATGTTATCACAAGACGCACAACGCACGGTGGACGACACTAGACGATGGAGAAAAAGAGATAGCAATAAGTTACCCGATTGACCCAGATGGACTAAAAATAGATAAAGAACGTTATTTTGTAGGTGAAAATTAAGCATAAAAGTGTAGACATCTTAAATCAGGAGCAAGCCTCATTAGTCATAATGAAATTAAAACATGTCAAACTAAAAATGATTCATTTTCTAGGTTAAAAAAATATTTCATCTACTTTGCAGCTACAATGCAATTACCAGTTGGAGTTCAAGAGCCTGTTTATACAATTTCTACAATGAATGAAAACACCAAATTCCAATAGAGAAAAGTGCAATGATACATGTATGAAATCAAAATCATCAGAAAAGTAAATCGAAAACGAAGACTTCTTGTCATAAAAATATGTAAACGATGAATTACCTTTTCAATACAAGTCAATATTCTATCGTTTGTCGCTCATGCGGTCTGACTATCGAAAAACTACTTTTTAAAATCTCTATCAGATTCTGCTCGAGGGTCTTGTAGATTCTTTGCAATTGTCTATTCTGTGCACACAAAGCTATAATTTTCTTTTCAGTAATTTTTAATAACAATGTTACTATCAGCTAGATTTTTTCCCAATATTTGAATATATATGTAAAATAAAACCTACGCAGATAGACAAAGGCTTGTTGCATAATGAGGAAAAACGCATTTTGATTTGTTAAATAATAATTGACTGTCAGTTACAGATTTCCCTGTTTTCTAATTTGATTTTTTGTTCATTTTGACATGAGATCTCGGGAAGTTTTTCTTTGCTATTAAAAGTATTGTCATTTAAGAAAATGAAGCGTAATACCTTAAGTTTAAAAAACTGACGAAAGATAAATATTTCCTTTAATTTCCAAGTTAAAATTCCTATTATAAAAATAAATGTATATGTTAATTTTTTTTTGTATACTACTTTGTTGTACATTCATTTGCTTTTGACTGGGGAGAATGATACATGTACATGTGAGTATTCAACTATGCTAAGGAAAATAAATGGAAGAGTGATCTTAAAACACTTTATTTTGTTTTAGTTTAAATAAGCAATTGCTGTGTAAATGATGGGAAAAAACAGTTTATAACTTGGTAGTATTTTGGATGACTTGTTTAATCCAATTGTAAAGACTGTTTTTCTGTCGATTTTGACAAAAGAATTTTGAGGGTTCAGTTCAGGTGTGACTTGTTTTACTTTATTGCCAAAAAGGTGCCGTGTCTGGAGTATATTCTCAATGAAATTTCTTGGAAAATGTTTTACTTTCCTATTTATATCCATTAATAGATTTCTCCCGATAAACACCTAAGACACTATATTCTTTATCCAAACGTCCTTTTGTTTCCATCTGTAATATATTTATGAAATTTAATTCAGATATACATGTATTTATTACACTTCCATCTACTTATGCTTTTAATATCTCGAGAATTATGTGATTATGAGGATGGCCTCATACTCATTGTTTTCACAGGTCATAATGCCCCTGCGCGCACGATAGAGAAATTATTTTAAGATTTTATTTATTTTTAAGTTTTCTTACACGAGAACGATGGGAAACGGAATAAAGTCCTCATCCTCTGTCCGTCTACTTTTGTAATATAAAGAAGCAATCTAATGTACTTATTGACAAAATATTTTTGGCGATATTATATTTCTACAGGGAACACAACCCACAAATTCCACTTCATTAAAACGAAAATCGAATTTGGCGTATTTCTTTATTTTTCTAATTAACCTACGAAAAATGCGATATCTCGAATACCTAGGATATTTCGAAGTTCTTTTCTCAGTCTCATCAGGTTCGGGATAACAAAGTTTGACTATATATCAGATGCTTTGTTTAGCTATAACACAAATAAGAAAGTGCTGGGAACGATCTAATCATCCTTGCTAGAGGTAATATTCTTTAACACATTTTTTATATTTTGATTTAACGAAATGGATAGCTGAAAAATGTGTTGGGTATCTTACTTCAAAGACCTTGACCAATCATTTACAATGCTACCATTTTGAAAAAAAGAACTTAGAAAAACATTAGTTTTAAAGTTGGTACTACAAGATACAACTTCGTGAAATATTTCATGAATATTTAAAATGTAATAACTTTTACAAAAATTGAAATTGAAATAAAAACACTTGCACCAATTCGATTCCTAGAAAAGTATAAAGTGTTCACTGGAAAAAAAGACAATGAATGCCCCCGACCCAATTCATGTGAACTAACTATGGAGATAAAGAAAAGATTATATTAAACGCTACAATTTATTTTAAAATACAAGTCAGGAGAAGAGCAAATGCAGACCTCGATCAGGTATCAGGAGTATGCATCCCTTTTTTACTAGTCACAAATGCAGTGTGTTCCTTAATTGTCATAAGCGGATGAACGGGAAAATCTGCTGACATTTAAGTGAAAATGTTCTATCAATGGGCGTGAAACATTTTGCATTATTTTATTATGTCACAGAAACAAATTGAACGCTGAAGTAACGTTAAATTGATTGTATAACTGTAATTGTAATGTGTTCAATGCATTTAATTTCACCAGGACGTATCCAAAGATGCTTTCAAAAAAAAAACATTTTGCATTTTGTATTATTAGTTCTTTAACTTTTGTCCAATTTACTCTTTTTCCATGAAGATTAAGTTAAAGTCTCGATTTTTTTCAGAACAGCCCTCTTATTTTCTACCCTAACATTGTATAACTTAAGTAAAAAGCCCTCAAATTTCAAATCATAACATGTTATGACACAAGGAAGAGTACTCTTACTTTATACCCTAATGTCTCATGGCTTAGAAAATACCCAAATAAATTTTTGTCCAAAGTTAAAGTTAAAAATTAAAATAAAGTAGCATTCACATACATGTAAGAACTTGACATTTCTTTAAGACCTTACATTTAAACTTAATCTGGCGAATCTCTATATTTTCCAGGGATCCGACGAATATTGTAATAATTGTGTTTGCCATTTGTGTGCATGGAGCACTGTTTCTTTGCCTCTTAATAGCTTGTTTTAAAATGCATTGTGGCGACAGAGGACCAGAGGCAAGGCTACATCGAACTAATAGTACATCTTCAGGTATTTAATTTAATAACTTTACACTTACAGAATATACCGAAAAAAAAATTCTACATTTTTTAATAATCAAAGATGGTTTTCCTAATTGCTTTTTACCGGTAGATAGTTTGTCGTGCCAGGGCGTCATCGATAGTTGGAAACGTGAGATACATTTATAATTTGCATAACTGGCGAATTGTTACTTTAAATGAGAAATGCTTTCTAATATATTCATAATACATTAGGCCTCTCCCCACAATTTCAATTGTCCCTGCTCACTAAAGTGAGACACCAAGATAGTCCCACTAAATTGACATGTTTATCATGCACTTTGCATTAATCTAACGATCGATTTACATTCAGGTTTATTTATCGAGAAATCAACTCACCAAAGAATGAGTGGACTTAACTCTTCAGAAAAATTGCTGTTAACTAAAGTTTCATAAATTTTTATGTACCTCGAGATCATAACCGTATATTCATGATACAAAAAGGAATTTAAGACACTCTTTTAGAGGAAATCTAAATAAAAATCGAAGGCTTGGAGTCCAAAGATTTATTGAATGTCAATATATAAATAATCAAGGTCACGCGTTTTTCATCGTCTGCATACCTAGTCAGCGCATGTTTGTAGGCTGTTCCTAGGAAAACTGTTGTTGAATATTGAACAAAATGATGTCATGTTAGAAGGAGAAATCACAACAAACGTACGTTCATACTAATTTTACAAAAACATGTCCGAAGGAAACTTTTCGCTTCAATTGTTATGATTACATTAACCTCGTTTTGACTTCAATTAACTTTATGTTAAAACCTTATTGGCAGACCAAGGCAACATAGCAGCTCAGATTGTTTCCAAAAATCAAAACAGAAGAGATGTTAATTGTAAAAAAAATGTCATTTATTTAAATGATGAAAAAATGAAATTCATAAAACAATTACAAAAGAATTTTGCTGGGAGACATTCATGTACCAGAATCATGGAAAGTTTGACTAGAAATGAAGTTCAATAAATGATTATAAAACAGTGGTCTCCCAGCCACCATATTGTAACAACACAGAGATGTGATGATGTGGTAAAATACAACATCAAACTTTATTGGAAACAAAAGTGGTGCATAAAAAGCGCCCCCTTAAGAACAGTTATTAAAAAAACAAAAATAAATGTGGGGGATGGAGTGGGGTGATGGTTGCCTTCTTGTCCATCAAATTTTTTCAGCAGCACTCCGAGATACACAGAAAATAATATAAATAGGATGCCTTGCGCGGCAATCTGATTGGCTGAGACAAAATAAGCGCTTTGGTAAAATTAAATGAACCGGATAAAAACGGATAACATAAAAAAGGGGGGCTTTATATAATTATGTGATTTACAGATAAAAAGTATATTAAAATTAACCAAACAATTAAACATATTTTGACAGCCACATAGATGACACATAGGGTATTTTTAACATAAATTGCTTTATTTGAAAATAAACCTTATTTGATTAAAATTACAACTCACCATGTGTTGTCCACCTGCAAATGTACTCAAGAAAACAATTACATTGTACATGTATTCTTCAACCTGATCTTCATCAAAATTACGTGTTGGAGCGTGTTTGATTGCCATTTTCAGAATTTAGCAAATTTGATATTTTATTACACTTCCTTCAATGTTTTTTTTAATTTCACATTGACTTTGCCCACAGTAATATACAATACACATATTTGATATTCTAGAGTACATGTAAGAGAAGATGAGAAAAAGACTTTGAGTACATATCAAATTCCGGACGATGACACAAATTTACAGATGGATCAATTTTGTTTCATAGCAACATGGCCTTGCTTTTTGTACAAATGTTCTACATGTACCTTATATTATCAAGTGTACGTTAACGTTACTCTTCAATTGCTGATAAAATATTTTGGATTCACCTAATTTACAGCTTAGTAGAGAAAAGATCCAAACTAGGGCGCTAAGTCCACATTCTTTCAAAGACTTTAATTTTTTTTTGTTTTTGTTTCATTTTGAGTATTTCTATGACTATTTCCTACATATACATAAACTTAAATGCTTCTACATTTGTTCTTAATCACATACATGTATTGTGTGTAACATGATTAGATGATCAAAAAGCTAGGCCATCCAACTTATATAGAATAATTTAAACAATATCAGATATTTAACATTGTATGTAATTAACAGTTTATTTAAAAAAAAACTTATGGATTAATCTTTTATACATTTATATTTTCAGTTAATCAAGCATCTATATGTATTACGCCAACAAATATCCATATGTCACCGTCATTGTTAGATGTTGTCGTACATGGTATGTCTTCTAAAGAATATGTCCATCAGAAAAGATTTATTTCCTTTAGAAAGGATAAATATCAAATAATGTTAATACTGTTTATTACATATCCTTCTTTTACAACATAAACATTTTTAGATCCTTCTATGTCACCAACAGAAAATATCGACATAAATAGCTATAGAGAAGAAACTAGAGATTTGCCGATTTCCCCTCCACCTCCTGGAAATACAGAGCAGGAGGAATACCATATTGTCCCAGCTGTTTTAACTGAATCCTCATCGTTACCAGATGATGGCCTTGAAGATTGGCCAGATGAGCCCCCTCCTTCGTATAGCAGTTTGTTTCAATAGTTAGATCAGAAATGAATTGTATTTGACAAGTGTGTAATCTTATTTTTAAGTTAGATATAATAAGTGTCCATCAAAACACAGAAAAAAGCATATATGGTTTTTAAATACAGTTGATTTTTAATTTAAAAATGTATTTCAAAGTAAATTGATGATTCACAGTAAATGTCTCTTTTTTCTTTTTTAAGCTAAATTGTTGTTAATTCCTTCTAAATCAGGCTGGCAATTAAACACTGAACCAACTTTCTTCATACTCGTAAAATGTACCATATTCGTACATGGATTATGAACAAAATGATGCATATGAACAATCATTAGATGAATAATTTTCAAATTATATGTATATAATTCCATAAAATTACCAGCAGAATATATTCAGTCAGAGATGCTTTATCATCAGAATACGGGGGTAAGTTGCACTTTATTATGGGGAATGGCCAGCTCCGATTGAAGAAATATATGTATATAATGAAATATATTTCTTCGAAGCTTTCCCCATAATAAAGTGCAACTTTCCCCCGTATTCTGATGATAAAGCATCTCTGACTGAATATATTCTGCTGGTAATTTTAGGGGAAAAATTTATCAAGTTTTTTTTTTTAAAATGACGAACCAGGAAATTTTATTTGGGGCATTTTCTGTCAAAAATAGTGCAAAATTCTAATTTGAGAAATAAAAGCATGATTGATGCTTCATGATATCATCAGAACCAGTCAAGTTTGGAGTAATTCCGTAATGCAAGTTATGAACTGTACATGAAATATGTTGTACTTCCATCTACTTATTATTATAAAACCTTGAAAAACGAGGGGTTATCAGAAAGTTCGTGGGCTATCGCCATGAAATTAAAACTGATCAAGGTATATCAATGAATTATAACATAATTAGTTAGTAATGCTGGCTGACGTTTTACGTACTACATTTTTTGTAATTGTTAGACCATAATTTACACACATAATTGAGGACAAATCTTTCCGTTATTCCACGACCATGACAAGGAGCACACGGCTGGTGTGACCAGTCGGCAGGGGATGCTCATTCCTCCATGGTACCTGATCCCACCTCTAATATTTAAGAGGTCCGTGTTTGCTCGGCTCCTATTTTGTATTGTTTAATTGACTTTGAGCTTGAATACTGTTCGTTATCTCCATGTATTTCATTTGTATAATCCTTTCTTTCTACAAAATAAACCATAAGTCATAAGTTTTATTTAAATAAATTATTAATAACACCATATCCCCTGACCTAGGGCCATGAAATTCACAATTTTGGAAGAGACATCCTTCCTCATCTTAACAATGTACTAGGATCATTGGTTTGATACCCAGGAGCAGAGCAGAAAATGTTTAAAGAATTAATGCATTTTCACTATATAGTCATCAGAGCCCTGCAATAACACCAGAACCTCTGACCAAGGGGCCATGAAGTTCACAACTTTGGAAGAGGCTCCCATCTTTCATAACAATGTACATAGTTCATCAGCTTAATATTTAGGAGCCGCGCCGTAACACAAGAACCACATGACCCATTAGCCATGAAATTTAAAATTTTGAAAGAGACAACCCTTCCCATCATAAATTTGCATTTAGTTGTTTGCAAAATACCCAGGAGCATAGGAGAAGGTTTCAAAGAATTAATTCATTTTCCCCATATAATCAAGAGTCGTGAGTCCTACCCTAACACCAGAATCCTTACCCTGGGGCCATGAATTTCACAATTTTAATAGAGGGAACAATGCTTATCACATTCATGCCAATAGTTTGACTGCTTGATGTCCAGTAGTAAAGAAAAAGATTTTTTTAAGACTGCATTAATCTTAATGGGTCTGTTTGCCCCATCCTTCAGGCCTTGGGGGATGGGGGAGAGATAATTAAATTCACAACTTTTGTTCCTCCTCACCCATAAATGCAGCATACCAAATTGGTTGATATTTAATCAGTGGTTTTAGAGAAGAAGTTTAAAGCTGAACACGACTCGTAAATAGGCATACGCCATTTTTGATGGCATTATTTACGATACATCAATACATCAGTATCACTACATCAAAACGTCGCATTCGTTACACCTCAGCGTGGTATCAGCGTGGAATAGCGACCCTTGTTCGTGCTGGTTATCTTGCATTACCTTTGTTAATATGTTATTGCAGTTACGTTTATCTATGTTGTTTGTATACTGCACTGACTTATACAACAGTAATTGTAAATTTATTTTGTATTTTGCATTAGACGAAGCATTACATTATAATCTCGCTACCAATTCCTGTATAGCATACGTCCGTCTACACCGGTGTCGACTGATTAAATTGAACAGTCTCTAATGTTGTCCTATTTTTAGGGGTCTGCAGGGTAGCGAGACTCGGGAACTAAAATGGCTGACACATTACTTTTACGAATCGTGTTCAGCTTCAATATGTTCAACTGTTACCCCACAGCGGTGGACGACGCTCGATGATGGAGAAAAATAGATAGCAATAGGTCACTTGATTGACTCAGTTGAACTAAAAATGGATAGGAAAGCATCATTGTGGTTATTTTAGTGACCATTGTGTAAAATAGCATAGACATCTTAAACCAAGGGCAAGCCTAATTAGTCATAATGAAATTAAAACGGGTGAAACATAACAATTCATTTTCTACATTAAAAAACTAATTATTTTATCTACTTTGCAGCTACAATGCATTACAAAGTAACTGTTGGTTTCGAGAGCCTGTTTATACAATTTCTACAAAGAATGAAAACACAAAATCCCAGTAGAAATAAGAACGATAAAAAAGGAAATTAAAGATCAGCAGAGAAGAAATTCGAATACTACTATATTTTGTCTTAAAAATATGCAAACGATGCATTACGGTTCCTTTTCAAAACAAATAAATCATACACTATCGTTTGTGGCTCATACGCTCTGACTTTCGAAAACTACTTTTTAAACTCTCTACCTGATTCTCTAAAATTCTCTAAAATTGTATATTTTGTGCACATACAGTGGAAATTTTCTTTTCAGTAATTTTCCCATGATACTACCGTTTAAGCAGAATTTTTAGCGAGGATTTAATTTTGGCAATTTTAGTGATGCTTATGAGATCGCTAAAATTTAATATCGTTAAAAATTGATCGCGTTTTATTTGCAATAGGTTCTTAAAGTTGCTAAAATTACATCTCGCTAAAAATGAAATACCTGTTTTTAAGAAGAGATGACTATTGTTGATTATTTTAAAAACATTTTAATGCACAATTATATTTTATGGAAAAGCATTTGCTTACTGAGTAATACTTAATTACGTATAAGGATGTTTTATATTAAAGGTAAGAATATTGTGGCAAATGAAGAAAAACGCATTTTTATTTGATGAATTGTGATTGTGAGCTACCCCGGGACAGATTTCCCTGTTTTATAATTTCCTGTTTTTTTCGTTTTGAGGTTAGACCTCAGGATGTTTTTCTGTGCCATAAAGGTATTGTTATTAATGAAAATGACGCGTAATACCTTTAAAAAGGTTGACGAGAGCCAAACTTTCTTATATTTTCTAGTAAAAAATTCTATTACATTAATAAAAATATACTTGCATGTTAAATATTTATAATGTATATTACTTTATTGTGCATTGATTTTGACTGGGGAGAATGATAAATGTACATGGGAGTATTGAGCTATGCTTTCAAAAAAAAATATGAAGAAGGATTTTTATTTTGTTTTAGTTCAAATAAGCAGCTGCTATAAAAATATAGGGAAAGTGATTAAGATACAGATAAGAAAAACACTACAGCTTTTGTTATTTGGTTGTTTTATTATCTCTCTCTCTCTCTCTCTACTCTGTTTCTTATCTTATTATTATTTTCTCTTCACTTGACTTCTTCTTCTTCCTGGAACTTTTTTAACCGGGATGATCTTGTAAATATATTCGTTTCCGATGTAAATAAAACCTTTTTAGGGTTAGTAGACATGTTATGTAGATTTGCGGAATGAAGGTCATTTTGTGCGCACGTGCTTGCAAGAGCGTGCACGTGCAACACGTGAAATCACCAATATAATAGCTATAGCCACAACAGTTCTATTTTTAGATGAAATGCTTTGAAACTCATAATGTGAGGATATATTAGTAGTATAGACATGACGACATGGTGAAAATAGCAAGGTCTCAAAGCGCATGCATATATTCGCTCTGATTTTAAAGTAATCAATATCTTTCTTACATTTTTTGACGAAATCCTTTGAAATTTTGAACATAGCCATGTATTAGGATATCCTGCAACATGAAATAAAGCAATTATCATGAAAACACGTGCATGCACGTGCGCTGCAATTCTGTTTGGCTGAAACTTTAAACATTTATATCTCCCTTGGTTTTCAACCAAACAGGATTTTTGGAACATAGATAGATATAATGGACTTTATACAAGTAGGATTGTCACCATGCACATGCATACACGTGTGTGTACATTGCTGCAATCTGATTGGCTGAAAAGCCAAACATAAACAGCTTTAACTCTCTTAGTTTTCACCCAAACGGGGTGGAATTTAATAGATAGATGTAATGGACTTCTACATTATATAAAAATATACACGTGCGTGCACGTGAAAAGAGTAAAATATATAACTTGAATGAGCGTATTTTATTTAATAATTTTGGATTAAATACTTTAATATTCAGTGTATTAAAATATAGATTGTGCAGACAAGATGATAAGGTCTTGTAAATGCATTCTACATGTTTCAAAAAAAAATGCTAAAGTTTAAATGATTTTTGTACACTTTGTTGTAAATGTTGTTAAAAGCTCAGATGCATAAAAATTTAATGAAGCTTATACAGGGAATAAAAAAAAAAGTTGGGGAGCTTTTGTAACGGTCCCCGTTACAATTTTTAGTTGAATATAGACATTAAAGACTTCGTAGCAGCTGAATTGTATGATAAAGATGGTGACTTCAAATTCAGGTTTACACTGTCTAATTTCCTTATTCATGCATTTTAA